TTATATTGTATCACTGACAATTAGGATAGCAGATCCAACAACCATCTCTTTGGTTCTCATCCCATCTCATTGCTTCTCCTTCCTGTTGGTTCCATGCAGTAGTCATCATCTCTCATCATTCTTGTGATCATAGAAGTCATGGGTCCAAGAATCAGGAGAAAGAACCGTGTGTGCTTGGCGCAGCCACTGACACCTCTGGTGGAAGGTCCTGACCTTGATGATGCACATGGAGAAAGAGCCAAGAAGGAGAAGTACTGGGAATCCATTGGAACATGGCTGCGACTGCACAAGGATAAAGGCATGTCAGGGAGCCATTTCTCGATTCCATTCCATGGGAGCGGCGCATCGAAGTGGACCGATCTGAAGCTAATTCTTAGTGTCTTGGGGTGTCCATTAGCTCCACTGCCACTGACTACTGAACCAAGTCACCACTTCTCCTTCAAAGACAGTCCCATAGTAATGTCTTCCTCCATCTCTTAACACTTGCCGATCTTTGCAGGTGCAGCTTTTGTCAGTAATTCCCTCTTCTTGTCGGACTAATGCAGGAAGCTTCTTCAGCTCGTTATATCATTCAGCAATACTTGGCAGCAACAGGATGCTTGAAACACCATGAGTACATGAAGAGCATGTATGCAGCTGGTAGGGTGAAGATGGTCTCTCGTGAGACTGATGGTCCATCAGGGAAGATTGGTGCAAGATCAGGTGCAGGACATGGCTGCTTCGTCTTGTGGCAGAAGTCGCCCGGAATGTGGCTGGTGGAGCTGGTGGTGGCCGGCTGCAAGGTGGCCGCCGGCAGCAACGGTAAGGTGGCGTGGAGGAACGTGCCTTGGCTTGGAACAGACGCAGCCAGAGGCCCCCAGCGGCCGCTGCGACGCATCATTCAGGTAGGAAAGTGCACTCTGCTTCAACACGTTCTACTCTAAGGAACTCTGTTCACGTAATCCTTTCCTCCATCCTCATCGATCACAGGGATTGGATCCAAAGGGCACAGCGAGCATGTTCACCAAAGCCCGGTGTCTCGGGGAGAAGCGCATCAAGGATGAGAACTGCTTCGTCTTAAAAGTATCAGCAGATCGAGCTACGGTTGCAGAGAGAAGCGATGGGCCAGCTGAGGTGATCAGGCACGTCCTCTATGGATACTTCAGCCAGAGGAGCGGCCTGCTCGTCTACATCGAGGACTCCCACCTCACAAGAGTGCAAGCCCCGGGCTCCGACACCATGTACTGGGAGACCACCATCGGAAGCACCATGGGGGACTACAAGGAGGTGGATGGCGTCCTTGTGGCTCATCAAGGGAGGTCTGCTGCAAGTGTTTTCCGCTTCGGCGATGCGTCTGCCCAAAGCAGCAGGATAAGAATGGAAGAGGAGTGGAGGATTGAGGATGTAGTCTTCAATGTTGCAGGGCTTTCGGCTGACTGCTTCATCCCCCCCAGGGAGATGTTGACCAACTTCCACGGCAAATGATCACTGCAAATGCTCAGCTTTACAATCTGGATGTGGAAAAGGATCTCAACACGTCTCTGTGACATCAAAACTGTCAATGGCAAGAACAGGGGATTATATCTTCTTGCCATAATTGCAGCTTCTTGATTGAGTACATGATTTGTTTCTTTGAGAAGGATTAATACCACCTAATTGTCTCTTTTTCTTAGAAGAAAAACCAAGATTAAGATCTAAACTGAAACAAGTCTGATACAACCAGATTCGTTCGCATCAATGTGATCCAAAAAGCTCAGGTCCGGAGGAAGATCCAGCGGCCAGTTACAATCAAAAGATGAGTTTCTAGCTCAACAAGCAAGCCAGTTAGCTGGACGATTGGCTTCACGTCAAACATAGACGAATGAGCAATCCAAAGACCATGCTGTTAGAGGGTGAATATTTTGGATGACCGTATCAATGGTCGAAGAAGGAGAAAGAGTGCTTCAACATAGTATCGATGATAACTTTGGGATTCGATTCCACAATCGAGTGCTGGATTCTCAGCTCGAGAGCCTTCTGCATGGCCGCTTGAACGACCCGCGCCTCACAAAACAAGCTATTGTTCCCCTCCAGCCGCCTAAAATTACAAAACACACAAGCAACATAGAGTTCCTTAAAAGTGAATCCACAGCCATCACAATTGAGCCAAAACAATCTAATTGTTTCTTGAAACCACATCAGAAGTGAATCCAGTATTTACCTGACATGGGATATAAAGAAAAATAAACTTTTGTATATAAATAAATACTAATAAATCATAATACGTAGCGGAATTAAATAAAAATATAATTAAATAGAATATCAAGATTTATATGAAAAATCCCTCCAATGTGAAGGGTAAAAATCACGGAGATAATTCACTATAAAAATAATGAATATACAAATATCAATCTTTTGTCCAAAACCCTAACAACACTCTCAAGAAAATAATTTAGATACAAGAATCATATTATTGTGCATAATATCTAAATTCTCCCCAAGTAATCATAACAATAATCTACTATAGATCTGATCTGAGATAAGAACATTGTTGGATGATTTAAAATAGTCTATCTACATTATCCTTTTCTTTTTCCTTTTTATTCTCTTATTTTTCTGCCTCTTTTTAAATCAAGTTGCTGCAACACTTTTTCTCCTCGTTGCTGTAGTTTTTCTCCTCAAAAAATCACAGCCACCACACCCCCTTAATTTGATCTATGGTTAGGTTTAAGGGGGGTGGGCTGTGAGGTGTTAAAGCCCACAATGGGCTGAATTCATGGGCTTTTTAGCCCAATAGCCTCTCCCTTTAGCCCATAAGGGAGGCTATCCCATGACTCTTCGATGTAAAGTCATGTCGACCAACTATTGACATATCTCTTATCTTTCTTTTGGTAAGATCTTTGTCAACATGTTTGCTCCGTTGTCATCCATGTAAATTTTCTGAAGCTACAACTGCTTCTCTTCAAGTACATTTCGAATCCAGTGGTATTTGACATCTATATATTTTGACTTGGAATGAAATGTTGGATTCTTACACAAATAGATGGCACTCTGGCTATCATAATTCACCACATAGTTTTTCTGTTTCAGCTTGTAAAATTCTTTCATCCATAATATTTCTTTGCAAACCTTTGTAGTAGCAATATATTCTGCCTCTGTGATGGAGAGAGCAATATACATTTGTAATCCGGATTGTCATGACACAGCTCCCCCTATAAAAATAAGTACAAAACCTGATGTGGACTTCCTCGTATCTATATCTCTTGCTATATCTACATCTGTGTAACCTATCAACACAGGTGGTCCACCTCCAAAGCTTAAATAAACCTTAGAGCTTCCTTTGAGATATCTAAAAATCCACTTCACTATTGTCGAGTGATCTTTGTTTGGATTTGTAAGAAATCTGCTAGTAACACCCACTGCATATGCGATGTCCGGTCTCGTATATACCATGGCGTATATTAAACTTCCAACTACTGAAGCATAAAGAACCTTTTTCATTTTCGTCTTCTCCTTATCACTTGATAGACTATGTTTTGAGTACAACTTGAAGTGACTTGCAAGAGAAGAATCAACTAACTTTGCATTACTCATATTGAACCTTTCTAATACCTTCTCGATGTATTTCTCTTGTGACAACCAAATCTTCTTGGTTTTTCTATCATAAGAAATCTACATGCCTAATATTTGCTTTGCTAACCTAATGTCCTTCATTGCAAAAGACTCACTTAGTTCCTTCTTCAACCTGTCAATTATAGACATATCTTTCCCAAAAATAAGCATGTCATCAACATAAAGTAAGAGAATAATAATATTCTCACTAAACCATTTGACATACACACAATGATCTGAAGCCATTTTTTGTATCCACTTTCTGTCATAAATGAATCAAACTTTCTATACCATTGTCTTGGAGCTTGTTTTAGCCCATATAAGCTCTTCTTCAACTTGTAGACAAAGTTCTCTTTACCTTTGACTTTGAAGCCTTCTGGTTATTCTAACTACTCAATCTCAAAGTCTTGGCTAGTAGTAATACCAAGAGTAACACGAATATAAGACATTTTAATAATAGAAAAAAAAATCTCTTCAAAGTCTTTCACAACTAATCTGGCTTTATATTTTAGTTGAGAACAATATTCTTGAGTTTTCAACCTAAAAACTCACTTGTTCTTCAAGGTCTTCATTCCATTTGGTAGTAGCACCAAATCATAAGTGTGGTTCTTCTGAAGAGCATCCATATCTTCCTGCAGAGCAACTAACTACTTCTTTTTCTACTCACTTTCAATTGCTTCATGATAACTCTTTAGTTTACCTACATCAGTAAGCATCACACACTCATCTATAGAGTATCTTCTGGAAGGTTAATGTTATTTAGAAAATCTTCTCAATTGAGGTTCTGCGGGAAATTGCCCTCCAACTTCTTGTTGCTCAACATGTCATGCAGGTAGATTAATATCAGACTCTACATCATCTTCCTACACATCTCCCCCATCACCCTAATATACTGGAGGAGTAATTGAGTCATAATATGCTAATCCTTCTGCAAAAGTCTTGGCTGGTGCCTTCTTCTTCAAATCCTCAAAGGTTTGATACTCAAAGAAGATCACATCTCTGCTTCTATACACCTTTTGCTTTTCTGAATCCCAAAGCCTATAACTAAACTAGTCATGTGAGTAACCAAGAAAAATACATTCTTTAATATTATCATCCAGCTTGGACCTCTCATTATCTGGAACATGTGCAAATGCACAACAACTAAACACTCTCAAATACCTGTAAAAAATATTTTCCCTGACCATACATACTCTACAACATCACCATATAGGGTTGTACATGGTAACAAGTTGATCACATCAACTGTAGTCCTCAAAGCCTCATCCCAAAACTTTTTGGGTAGCTTAGCTTATGAAAGCATGCATTTGATCTTTTTCATGATGGTGCGATTCATTCTCTCTTCAATAGCATTATGCTGAGGTGTATCAAGAACTATCATCTCATGTTGGATGTCATGTGACCTGTAATAATCATTAAATAATCCTGTATACTTACCACCATTATTTGATCTTATGCATTTTTGTTGTCTTTCTATCTCCCTTTCAACTCTAGCATGAAATTCTTTGAAAACATTAATAACCTGATCTTTAGTCTTCATAGCATAGGTCCAAACTTTCCTGGAAAAATCATCTATATAAGTGACAAAATAAAGTGCACCACTAATACCAAAAACATTAACAAATCCATCCGAAGTTTTTATTTTCAAATGACCACATACTTTTGTATAAACACGGTCTAAGATATACATTTTTCTAGATATAGCAGGACTAGCAAATGAAACTCTATGTTATTTACTAGCTAAACAATCAATATAAGGGTTCAAATACGTACTTATGAGGTCTGGCAATACCTCTCTCTTGGAAAAAGCTTGTAGCCCCTTCTTATTCATGTGTCTCAATCGTATATGCTATAACTCCATGCTGAAGTCTTTCTCTATAGCATTTAGTTGCTCACCATAAGTTTTGACCTGTAACTTGTACAAAGTGTGACATTTCTTTTCATTAGCTACAATAAGAGAACCCTTACTGAGCTTTTATTGCCTCATGTGAAATCTGCTATCATAATCTTTATCATTTAGTCTTCCAACTGAAATTAAATTAAGCCCCAAGTCAATCACATGTCTCATATCCTTAAGCACTAACTTGTAGCTAAGGTTAGTCTTTATATGGATATCACTCATGCCAATGATGCTTGCCGTGTCATAGTTGCCTATCTTGACAACACCAAATTGTTCAGTCTTGTATGCAGTAAAAAACCCCCTCCGTGGTATAGCATGATAAGAAGTATCTGTATCAATCACCCACTCAAGATCCTGACACATATAAGAAAAAATATCATCATAAGGAGACAAAATCAAATAATCACCACCTTGCACTATAACTATGATATTATCTTTTGACTTTATAGGCTCCACTTCTTTTCCCTTTTTCTTGCTCTTCTTTGGTTGCTTATATTGATTCTTGTAATGCCTTTTCTCACCACAATTATAGCAAAAAATATCTTTTCTTGATCTTGACTTGCTTCTACCTATGCGTGAACTACTTCTATCCTTTGACTTGGACTTTGACCTTCCTCTATTCTCTGAGATAAGTGCCTGTGAATCATTCTGAGATGTAGCTGAATTCTTTTTTCTTAACTCCTCATTCAACAAACTACTTGTTACTTGACTCATTGTGACAACATCATCTAGCGCAGAATTACTGAAAGAAACCAGTAGTGTCTCCTAACTTTCTGGCAATGAACTGAGAAGTAACAATGTATGCAACTCATCATCAAGAGATATTTTCATAGATGATAACTAGTTAGTGATACTCTGCATTTCATTCAAATACTTAGCAATAGAAGCACCCTCTTTATATTTTAGGTTTATAAGTTTTTTAACCAAGAAAGTTTTATTGCTAACTGTTTTTCTTTCATAGAGACCTTCCAACTTTTTTCAAAGAGAATATATGGAACATTCAGTAGAAACATGGTGAAAGACACTGTCATCAAGCAACTGTCGAATAAACCAAACTATTTTCCGATCTAACCTCTTCCACTTATAATCTGTCATAGTTGTGGGTTTTACACTATCCCCCTGCAAATATCTATACAAATCTTTGTAATACAAGAAATCTTTCATTCTTGATTTTTATATCATCCAATTATTTTCATTCAAGCTAATCATATGAGAAATACTACCGGCCTCCATGTTCAAATACAAAAATTAAATTATCAAAACCTTACTCTGATACTAGTTGATAGAATATAAAGAGAAATAAACTTTTGTATATGAACAAATACTAGCATGCTATAACACGCAGTGGAATTAAATGGAAACATAATTAAATAGAACATCAAGATTTACGTAAAAAACCCCTCCGAAGGGTAAAAACCACAAGACAAACTAGAGATAATCCACTATAAGAATAATGAATATACAAATCTCAATCTCTTGCCCAAAACCTTAGCAACACTCTCAAGAGAATTATTGAGATACAAGGACCATGCGCTTGTGCACAATATCTAATTTCTCTTTAAGAAATCATAGCAAGAATCTACTGTAGATCTGATCTAACCTGAAATAAGAACATTGTTGGATGATTAAAAATAGTCTCTATGCATTGTCCTTTTCTTCTTCTATTTCCTTCTCTTATTTTTCTATCCTTTTTTGAATCAAGTTGCTGCTGCACTTTTTCTCCTTAAAAAATTATAGTCATCACACCCCCTAGTTTGATGGGCTGTGGGCTGTTAAAGCCCATTATGAGCTGAATTGATGAGGTTTGAATTATGTTGCAAATTTTAAGGTTAACTTCTCTTTGATAGATATGCAGTGCAGATATGAAAAGCATGCACACAGATGATGATGACAATAGGAATCAACCCAATGGGCCACACCCATTGCATTCCTCAAAAAGAAAGCTTCAAAACTAAGTAGATAGATTTCACTTGAACAAACTATGGAGATGACATTTATGCATTAGCGCATGACTAATTTCATTAGGCTCAATCCAAAAAAGCCACCTCAAGGCTGGATTAATTATTGAGATGGATTGCAATCGGTGTCTATTTGAAACAGACTCAGCAACCCCTGGAAAGGATGTATCTTGATGCATTATCCATATTATTGTTGAATCGAAAGACTTGCACAACAATTACATCCTATGATGTAAAGTATTATTTTCGCGAATGTAATCATGATATAAATTGAGAAGGGCTAAAACTGAGAAGTCTAATATTTTATGGGTGAAATCATTTCTAGTTGGTTTTTATTTTGAAATCATTAGGAAACCATTAGTAAACATATGACTGCACGAAATGCTACTGCATTTGGCTTGGAAGACGTCACCTACGAAGAGAACAAATATGTCATCAGGAAGAAGGTGACATCTGTGTACTACACTTTGTTTCAAGCCCAAGGCAGCTGCCTTTTCTTCTTGTCCCCGTGCTGAAGCAGTAGCAGTGCCCAACAAAAGATTAAAGTGAGACAGGAAGATAAGACAAAGCAATGGTGGGAAAAGCAAAGCCAGAGATAACACCCAGTCATCCACCCCGACGTTGACACCAGGAAGAAGAAGACAAAGGAGGGCAAGCAACTTTTGAGTGCAGCAAACATAGAAGACCTCCATCGGCAAATGAATGATTCAAGTGAACAAAATGGTGATCGATATGAACGCAAGAAATGTGGTGGGCAGCGGCCATTAATACCTCATGTTTGGTCACCTAATCATTTGTGTAGTTCCTCAAGAAACCTTATAGAGCACCAAATCATGAGATAGTTTGTTTACTTTCTCTCATTGTAATGCAAGTCTGCACGAATGTTTTTACTTTTCTTGTGCTGTTTATGAGCCATTGATGAAGCTTTAGGAGTAGAAATAATGAATTGGACACCAATTCAACCCAAGAAACTAATGCTTATTAAGCCATGCATCGAGCCCATCTATCAAACCTAATCAAAATCTCTCTCTCACTTAAGAATATCCTCTTGGTGGGTTGCATGTAAATGTAAATGAATTAAATGTAGCATCAGTTGGTGTTTACTTTCCTGAGATCATCCATACTTGCACAAGTCAAGTTGAAATCTGGGGAAGAACAAGATCGCAACTTGATCAGACATGGAGTATGCATGGTATCATCTAATCCATCCTGCTGAGTACCTAATCAAACCATCAATTACCGGCATGCAGTGCATGAATCATGTACCGACACCTGCTCTTGTGTAACCACACCGACACAAGTCGACCAAAGGCAGTCAGCATTCCAGTTGGACTGTTTCAATTATTCTTCTGCTTGTTGAAGAATGTTCTTCTACTGGAATTAATGTTATATCACTCACATGTGTTCTGATTCTTAAACAAACAGGCAATGGCAAAGGAGATGGGAAAGGTTGATGAGTACTGATCGGTCCTCTCATATATAGAGTGCAATCCAAGCAACTTCTTCTTCTTTTGCCTTGTGTTTCTTATGCTTACTCATGCTTCTGTGGAAATGGTCCATGGTGCTGTCACACACGAACGTAAGGACGTGGTTGGGTACCTTTGTCAGCAGTGGGGAGGAAAGAGAGAGCTGTATATATTAGTCGGGTAGCGGAGGAGTGTTGAGATGAAGATAAAGTAAGGCCCTGGCAATGGGTCACCACTGCTGCAGCAAGCAGAAGGTGAGGAGGGGCCTATGGTCTCCTGAAGAAGACGAGAAGCTGATCCGGTACATCACCTCCCATGGCCACAGCTGCTGGAGCACTGTCGCCAAAGAAGCAGGCAGACCTCTCTCTCTCTCTCTCTCTCTCTCTCTCTCTCTCTCTCTTTTGTGCTGATGATGATAGCTTTGTGATTGGGAGTTCAGGGTTGCAGAGGTGTGGAAAGAGTTGCAGGCTAAGGTGGATCAATTACTTGAGGCCAGATCTAAAGAGGGGATCCTTCTCAGCAGAAGATGAAAGAATTGTGATAGACGTTCACAGGATCTTAGGCAACAAGTACAGTGAACCCTAATCTCTTTTGCCGAACCTGCATGCCTTTCATGATCACAAATGATATATTTATTTGTACTGTTTAAGAGATCAAGATCATCTTAACTGCGTATGCGTGCATATTGATTCTCTTTCTCCATTCAGGTGGGCTCAGATTGCGAAGCATCTCCCTGGAAGAACAGACAATGAGGTGAAGAACTTCTGGAACTCATGCATAAAGAAGAAGCTGCTAGCCCAAGGATTGGATCCGAAGACACATAACCTAATCCCTGCTGCTGCTCGATCGAATGGTGCCAATTCAGCTGAGCCTCCTCGATTCCGCTATGCTCAATCCTCTACCTGCACGCCCTTCACAATTAGCTCATCCATCAAAAGCTTTGATGATATGAACAACTCCATGGACTTGAATCCACCTGCTTCTTTCCATGAGACAGCAGCACCTGTGTCCAACTTCCAGTACCAAGACAACCATGTCTTGATGAGCTTCAAGGATCAGAATGGCTTTTCTTCTTCTTCTTCCTCCTTGGACTACACAAACATAGCCTCCTCTTCATTTCATCAACCTGGTTTCATTGATGATTGCATGTGGGATAGTTCTGTTGAGCCCTTGCAAGCCCTGAGGCAAATTGAGGTAGGACATGAACAAGGGGTTGATCAACTGCAAGTGCAACCCTCAATGTGCAAGATGTTCTTCAATGAGGCCAATAAGAAGGGGCCAGTGATGGAAATCTCCGACAGCAACGGCGGTGGCGGCGCAACCTTCAATCTTGAGATGCTGGATAATGCATGGCTGCCTTGTGTAGAGCTTTCCAGTGGGAGCTTCATGGATCAACTGCAGTGGGATTATTGGGTCTGATTCCTTCGTTTAGCTCTATGGAGAACAACTTCAGATCTGGAAGATGATCTCAGAATGTGCATTCATCTGTGAAAGCTTTTCAAATATACCTGACATTGCCTATGTCAGTTCCCTACAATAAATTTTGATGGAGATTTATTCATATTGACCATGTTTTGTATCCTCCAATCATAGAAATAAATGAAGGTTAGAAAGTTTGCTTTCCTTTTCTGAGAGAAAAAGGTTTCTGGTGATCCTATTCTGGTTGCATGCTTTTTGAACATCTGCATCCTGTGAGAATGATCATTTAGTTCCACATTAACCGAGGAGTATAGAACCAAGGGTTCATAAGTCCATCAAATCTCACTTATTACTTTTTGGAGTTCATATGCTCCGAAAGGACAAAACCGTATGGATATATCCATCGTCCAAAGCGAACAATTAGCTATGGACTAATTCCAAATGACATGCATTCATTTTACATATGAAACTATAGCTACTCTGAGTATGATTCATTTGATTGATTACTAGTTGATAAGAAATTATCTTGTAGTTATCCCATACCATGAAATATACAACATCAAAAGCAAGTTTAATGTTCCTGTCTCTCTTAATGCTGTTTGATATTTCCAATGTTCTCTGAGATTAGATTAATCAAAAGTGAAATACAAAAGATAAGAACCACAAATTGTTATTTTTGAAAGGATACAAGTCCTTGATTTCATGTGAAAACTTCCATGATGGACACAAACCAATGCTTTGTGTTTGAAATCTTCCAAAAGTATCATAAAAGTAGCACTAAATTACCACAATGTAACTCTTTTGAAATAATGGATGACAAGTTATTTTTCTTCAGAGAGTAAAACCTACAGCTTTTTGCACCAAACTACAGTTCTATAATTGCAACAACAACTGTGCACTGGAAAATACATCATGTTCCAAGATCTTCATTTTATTCAAGATTAAGAACAATATTATGTAACATAAAAATCACATATTTTTTCTCATTAAAGTTACTCCTTCCTGCTCAAGATAAGTCCTTGCTAAAGCTCCTATTTTGCTACGTGTGCTTCCACAAGTTAATTGTATTAGATAGTTGAAATTAGGTTATAGCAAACCATATATGCTCTTATTTACCTTTATAAATAGACAAAATTCATGTAATAACCATTTGGAATCTCTAACATCATTGCGGGAAATATAGCCGATATGTATAATCCCCACAAAATAAAAAGTCTCAGAGTGCTACTGATCATAACAAGGTTGTCAAAGAGGAGATCCACATTATGCCTAAAGTGTAGTATATATGTTCTCTTACAGCTGTACCAGTTCGCCATGGGGGATGGGAAGGTTTCTTTAGTACTATTAGGCTGAGAAGAACGTACTCGGCATTCATCTGCAGTTGGAGCCGCAGCATTGCAAGATGGAAAGGAGGAGTTTGATGCGTGTTGCCATGGCAAATATAGTGAGTAGGGTTGAAGGCATTGTGTCAGCATGGTTGAAGAGCTCATGAAATCAAATGTACTTCAACGAATTAAAGCCTTCGAAAGGCTTCTGGAGTAGAAGGTCTTCTTGTTGCACTTTGAAGCAGAATACACGTAACTTTCTTGGGGAAGGACATGTAGCTCATGGAAGGGAATGAGTCTGTCTTTGCTTCAACTCAGAGGCAAAGACTATATTGATTGGATAGTTGGAGAACTGAGACCCAATAAAGAGCATTTTTCGCTGATAGATGTCTTTTTAGATCCATTTGGAGAGGGTAAAACCATCCAAACCAGCTATCATAATTGTGAGTTATCTGAGTCAAAAGAAATTGTTCATTCTAGTATACACCACCTTTAGGAAAAGAGTTACCTTTAGCCTTTTATTAGGCTTTGGTTCTCCAACTCTCTGACCTATATGAAACTAGATGTCATGGATGATTGTAGATTAGTGCAAGACAATTTTGGAGATAGTTACCAAGGAAGGGATTGCACACATCCATATGAGAAAATGATTCATTATAGAGAAAGTTCATGAAACTACAGAGAAATATTCATATGCAGTATCTACACAATTGGAATGGGCAAAGTGAAGGAAAAAGAATGGTGAGGGAGAGCACACAGCTAGGAATCTCATAGAAACTGATGATAAAACTCATGATGAGTTGGTACCCTGTCACACATTAGCCAAATGTAGCTCACCTTTTTGCTCATATTTTATTTCCATTATCTTTAGTTCTTAGGACTTGATCATAAATCAAATGCAATCATATCAGAAAACCTTTTTCCTGGTCTTCATTTAGGCACACCATGTCCCCAGCTCCATGTTACATGACTAGTAACATCAAGATGATCATCAAAGCTTTAGTGTCAATGGAAACTCATAAGAGCAATTCAACTTTGAAAGTGAATGCAATGAAACTGTCCCATTCAGGTTATTATGTATGTTCAGAATCAAGTGCAACATATAAAAGAACTGATGATGCAAAGGAAAGTAGTTCTTGCATATACACAAAGTAGATTCTTCCACAATCCATGATCACGTTCTTTAATTAACAAAATATGAATTTATTTTGTCTAAACCTCAAGAAGCATCCTTCTGGGTCAAGACACTTGTTCGGTTTATCATGCTTAATAAGAACTTATTAAACGACAACAGCAGATCATGTAGACCAAAGGATAGCAGTAGGAAGAAAGCCGATTTTTGTTGAGAAGCAGGTGAAGAATCATTCCAGATTCTAGTCTTTGAAATGCATGGCACTAGTATTCTTTCTTGCCAAAGTTCTTGCATCAAAGATGTGAAGCAAATGGGCGAACAGGGTAATGAGGCCGTTGCTGCAAGATAAAAACAAGATGCTATAGTGATAGGGATGATTTTGCCCCACGCCAGCTCATCTGCTACCGAGGTTGATACCAAGTAGGGTTCTAGTTTACTAGCCCTAAAATGACATCACAGTACGTCTCGATAACCATTCTACTAATCAGAGAATGATAAGGCGGTTCACCTAATATTATCCTAGATCGGTTAGTAAGAAGGACTAGGGATCATATATAAAAAGAAATTCATCAGCCTACGCTAAAGGGAGAGCTCTCTATACTTTACTCAATTATATAGCTCTCAATATTTTCCTTCTGCCCTTGCTCCCCCCCCCCCTCCCTCCCTCCCCCGCGCTAATTTTAGCATCGGAGGGGTTGTGTTGGGCAACTCTCAACACTAACTATGAAGGTTTTGACGAATAAGAGGTGACTCCGTCGTTATGATGCAATCTCACAACCCCAAGACAAATCATTACTCGAGGACACCCGAATGACCTAGCCTAGAGAGAAAATCTTTTAGCTAGGAAGATCCCAGATCGCCTACCCGATCACCTCAAACCAAGTCTCCATTGATAGCACCGCTTCCGATCGAGCCGCCCATGCGATCCTACCTCACCGCTTCCGAAAAAGACACTTGAGTGAGCTTGTACCTTCAATAGTGGACTAATCATGCCACCTCATCAGTCGATAGTAGGTACACACCATCAAATGACATTATTCTTCTGTTTATATCAACCAAATTTTGTATCACATCAGACAAACCAAAATCTAAAAGCATTCAGAGTTAAAGAGAATTACAGTGTTCGAAGCAAAAATAGTATGATTCCCTGAATTTAAACATTTTGATGGAAGAAATTGTCCTGATATAAGTTTATTGTCAAATTCTCTATCTTAAAACAACTGGAAAATGGTGAAGGAGAAGCATGTTCAAAATTATAAAAATTCATAGTGAAATTCAAACTTTAAAATGTCAGACCAGATTGAATGCATAAAAAACCAAAACAAGCTACAATCAGTTAAGTAGTACCATTGGTGAAGATGAACCATTGTGCTGCAGGTTCCTATCACCAAAGCTCTAAATTTGTTTCTATTAGTTAAAAAAAAGGGTGATATAGTGTCATCATATAATTGAGCTAAAATGCGAGAAGAAATTTTCAAACACAAAGTAGATGAAAATAAATAAATCCTGTCTTGATATTCTTGTTGTTGCATAATGTAGTGTAAAAAGAACTATGACTTTCCAATTCATGCTCAAGATTCAAAAACAGCATTTGAGGAAGAACCATCTCAAGAGAGGAAAAGAGATCTGAACTTAAGGACACAATCTAGAGTAAGATCTTAGTAAAAATATTATCATGCTTCTTTTTTGCTATTTTAGCTAAAGGGGTGAGAGGTGAGAAACCACAAAGCAAGACAAAGATAAAAGACAAAGTGATAGAGTGAGATTAGCAACAAGTCACTTAATTCACAATGCAACTATTATTCGAGACGTACGTCTCCACCAACCACATCAAGATAACAATAATAATAGACATGAAAGGAGACAGCGACACTTTCATGTATCTGATTGACCTGAATCTCGCCAGGTTGAAAATATGCATCAAATCAAAGTCAGTATAGCAACACCCAAGTCTACACGTAAATGAATTGTTCTCTGTGTGGCCTTTGAATTGATGCCCCAGACTCTCTCTCTCTCTCTCTCTCTCTCTCTTAAGCGTTACTTCAGAAGAATATAATCGGCATATCATGTAGTTTATGTATTAAGTTCAATCTCACCTGGATGCCCATTTGTGAGATGAGCCATCTCCAGATAGTCCGATTATTCTCGATCTCAGGTGTGGCTCAGCCGATTTCCAAGAAATTGACAGACCACAACTCCTAACAATTTCTAACCATAAGTCACAACTATTTCTTGGAATGTCATCTTCTAAGCAAAGGTATCAAGATATAAAGATTTAAGTTTTCCTTGCATATCTAAATATAGATCTCGATATCTTGCTCACTAACAAAATGTGATCTTTTATAGCACAACTTCATCAGCGGTTGGGTATAACAATTGGAAAATAGAAGAACAGGAATTACTAATAATTTCGGGATCAGAACGATATCAATCGATCAATGAGTGGACAAACGAATGAGAGGAAGAAGGCGGAGGAGGCGAGACAAGAGACATGGGGAGGAAAATAGGAAGAGAAGAACGAAAATCATATTTTGTTAATAACTTATAATAATTTGAAAGAAGATCGACATGATATTTAGATACAAGAGCTTCAAATCACATGTATGATATCAAAGAATTAATTTTCAAAGTAGATACAAGTTATTTCGACAATATTACATTTAGTGATATTTCTCAAAGACTAATAAGAGGCAAAGGTAAAGTTTTTTTAGACTTAATAATAGTAAAAAATTATATATTTTAGATGTTTATTATGTTATTAATATAAAAAATAATATTCTAAAGTAATTACTTGAAAAAGATTATGATATTAAGATGAAAGATATGACTGTTTCAATCGGTGATAATCTCATATGTGAAAATGACGAAGAATAGAATATTTCCTATATATTTATGTATTTTTTATTAGTAAAAATATTTTAAAACTAATATTGAAAATAATTCTATATTATGACATCTTGGATTATGATTATTTAAAATTTAAGATTTTAAAATTTTTAGAGAAATATAATATAGTGATAAGATTGTTAAGAATTGATTGTCTATCAAAGTTATGTACGAAAAATAACAGTTTCGCATCTTAATAATATGGAGTATGTATGATATCATATAATCCATCCTGCTGAGTACCTAATCAAACTATCAATTACCCGCATGCAGTGCATGAATCATGCAACGACCCCTGCTCTGATCTGACCACATCGACACAAGTCGATATCCAGCAAAGGCAGTCAGCATTCGGGTTGGACTGTTTCAATTATTCTGCTGCTTGTTGAAGAATGTTCTTCTTCTGGAATTAATGTTATATCACTCTCATGTGATCTGATTCTGAAACAAACAGGCAATGGCAAAGGAGATGGGAAAGATTGATGAGTACTGATCAGTCCTCTCATATATAGAGCGTAATCCAAGCTACTTCTTCTTCTTTTGCCTTGTGTTTCTTATGCTTCCTCGTTCTTCTGTGGAAATGGTCCGCTCTGTTGTTACACATGAACGTAAGGACGTGGTTGGGTACCTTTGTCAGCAGTGGGGAGGAAAGAGAGAGCTGTATATATTAGTCGGGTAGCGGAGGAGTGTTGAGATGAGGATAAAGTAGGTCACCACTGCTGCAGCAAGCAGAAGGTGAGGACGGGCCTGTGGTCTCCTGAAGAAGACGAGAAGCTGATCCAGTACATCACCTCCCATGGCCACAGTTGCTGGAGCACTGTCGCCAAAGAAGCAGTCAGGCCTCTCTCTCTCTCTCTCTTGTGGTGATGATGATAGCTTTGTGATTGGGAGTTCCGGGTTGCAGAGGCGTGGAATAAGCTAAGGTAGATCAATTACTCGAGGCCAGATCTAAAGAGAGGATCCTTCTCAGCAGAAGAAGAAAGAATTGTGATGGATGTTCACAGGATCTTAGGCAACAAGTATAAGGAACCCTAATCTCTTTTGCAGAACCTGCATGCCTTTGATTTATTTGTATTGTTTAGGAGATCAATGTAATCTTGATTGTGTGTGTGTGCATATTGATTCTCTTTCTCCATTCAGGTGGGCTAAGATTGCCAAACATCTCTCTGGAAGAACACATATCATAAATACAATTAAATTCATTATTTGATTAGCATATTATTATTGTCCTTCTTTTTATCTCTATTCTTTATTATTTGGGGAGCCTCCGAAATGAGATGATAGTTAGGTAATTGATAAATATGATAATTATTTTTAAGATTATATTAAAAAAATATTTATATATAATTCTGTGTAATGGATTTTTGAAAAGGTGTTGACACACAGTATGTTTTTGAGTTGATTCGTACCGAAGAGTGACACCAAAGGGTTGGATCCAAAGACACATAACCCAATCCTGCTTCTGCTCGATCGATCGAATGGTGCCAATTCAGCTGCGCCTCCTCGATTCCGCTATGCTCAATCCTCTATCTGCACGCCCTTCACAATTAGCTCATCCATCAAGAGATTTGATGATATGAACAACTCTATGGACTTGAATCCACCTGCTTCTTTCCCTGAGACAGCAGCACTTGTGTCCAACTTCCATAACCAAGACAACCATGTCTTGATGAGCTTCAAGGATCAGAATGGCTTTTCTTCTTCATTGATGATTGCACGTGGGATAGTACTGTTGAGCCCTTGCAAACCCTGAAGCAAACTGAGGTAGGACATGAACAAGGGGTTGATCAACTGCAAGTGCAACACTCAATGTGCAAGATGTTCTTCAATAAGGCCAATAAGAAGGGGCCAGTGATGGAAATCTCCGATGGCGGCGGCGCAACCTTCAATCTTGAGATGCTGGAAAATGCATGGCTGCCTTGTGGAGAGCTTTCCAGTGGGAGCAACTGCAGTGGGGTTATTAGGTCTGATTCGTTCCTTCAGCTCTATGGAGTACAATTTCAGATCTGGAAGATGATCTCAGAATGTGCATTCATCTGTGAAAGCTTTTCGAATGTACGTGACATTGCCTATTTCAGTTCCCTACAATAAATTTTGATGGAAATTTATTCATATTGCCCATGTTTTGTACCCTGAAATCATAGAAATAAATGAAGGTTAGAAAGTTTGCCCTCCTTTCTTGAGAGAAAAATGTTGCTGGTGATTCTATTTTGGTTGCATGCTTATAATTCAAGCCTGTGTCTGTCCAATTATACAGCATCTGCATATTGTGGGAATGCTCTTGATCTTTGGCACATGAATCATTTTGGCCTGACAAGAAGTATGCTGGATCTCTTTCTCTCTTTCTTGTTTTCATTTTTCAGTAATAATTAAACGAGAAGTTAAAGAAAGAGAAGAAAGCAAAAAGAATACAAGAAAGCAAAAATATGAATATATTGCATATGTTTATAGCTATGGACTAATTCCTTTACATATGAAACTATAGCTATTCCAAGTATGAGTCATTTGATTAATTACTGGTCTATAAGAAATTACGTTGTAATAATCTCATATCATGAAACATGCAACATCAAAAGCAAGTTTAATGTTCCTCTCTCTCTCTTAATGCTGTTTGATATTTGCAATGTTCTATAAGATTAGGTTAATTAAAAGTGAAGGTACAAAAGAAAAGAACCACAGATTGTTATTTTTGAAAGGATACAAGTCCTTAATTTTATGTGAAAACTTCCATGATGGACACAAATGATGGGCACAAACCAAAATAGAGCCTCATGTAATTGTGTCAGCATGATTGAAGAACTCATGAAGTCTCATGTAATTAACTGAAATAGAGACTTACAAAACCCACTTTTACTTTTACTTCCAAATCTTCTGGTAGGATCTTGAAGCAGCATACATATAACTTTTACTAGATGAGCCAAACCAAGTTGGGGAAGGGGATGAGCCATACTTGCCAAGACTTGTGGATGATTGATCCTACATTAGTTGAAGAGAGAGAATCAAGACATGGTAAAAAAGAGCCTGAGTGACTTTTCTTCCCGAGACACCTTTTGGGATCCATCTCGAAAAGGTAAAATCATCCACAAGCTACCATTAGTGCAAGCTATTTGATTCAACAGGGAGACTTCACAGCTAGGATTCTTATAGAAGTGAAGAGTCAAAGGTTGGATACTGATGATAAAATCATGATGAACAAGTACCCTGTCACACAATAGCCAAATATATATAGGTCACAGTTTTGCTCCTACTTCAATTCCATTTCTTTGGTTCTTGGGACTTGGATCATAAACTAATGCAATCATAGAAAACCTGTGGTGGAATATGAATTGATTGCTCAGTATATTTCTTTTTCCTTGGCATCATTTAGGCACACCATGTGCCCAGCTCCATGATATATAACTAGGAACATCAAGAACAATTCCACTTTGAAAGTGAATGTAATGTAACTGTCCCATTCAGGTTATTACCTATGTTCAGAAACATGTACAACATAATTCAAATTAAAAGAACTGACGATGCAAAGTTAAGTAGTTCTTACATAAACACAAACTACATTTCTTCCACAATCCACCATCGAGTGCTTTGATTAACCAAATATTTACTTATTTCATCTAAACTCCAAGAAGCATCCCTCTGGATCAAGAGGCTTGTTCGGTTTATCATGCTAAATAAGAACATTAAACGACAACAGCTGAGCATGTAGACCAAAGGATAACGGTAGAAAAATGCTGATTTTTTTTTAGAAGCAGAAGAAGAATCATTCCAGATTTCAGTATTTGAAAAGCTTGGCTCTAGTATTCTTTCTTGCCAAAGTTCTTGCACCAAAGCTGTGAAGGAATTGGGCGAACAGGATAATGAGGCCGTTGCTGCAAGATAAAAACAAGATGCAATGACATTATTCTTCTGTCTGTATTAACCAAATTGTGTACCACATCAGACAAACCAAAATCCCAAAGTTAAGGAGAATTACAGTGTTTGAAGAAAAAAAAATAGTATGATTTCCTATTTTAAATATTTTGATGGAAGAAATTGTCCCGATATAAGTTTCTTGTCAAATTTTCAATCTTAAAACAACTGAAAAACCATGCTATAATATCTTCATATGATTGATCTAAATTGCTTGAAGAAATTTTCAAGCATGAAGTAGATGGAAATAAATCTTGTCTTGGTATTCTTGTTGCCATATAATGTAGTGAAAAAAGATTGCAAGTGTTCAAAAAAATACCAAACCAGCAATAACCTGATCTAGACTTGGCTCATTGGGTTGCTAGTTGGTCTGTTGGTTCAAACGGGTGGACCACATGTTTAATAAAATATTAATATAAAACATCAGAAATACAGTAATCTGTGTTTCAACTTTAAGCTTCAAATTTGATTTATTCTATAAAAAAACTCCTGATTAATTTCTTTTCATGTTGCAGAGATATCAAAACATATGTTCAAAAGATTTACTATATAATAAAATTGGTATATCTCAAGTGATTTTACTAGATGGCAAGAAAACAAGCACAAACTTGAATAAAGAAAAATCTATAGTTGGCATCAAGGATTTTCATCAAATCTTATCCAATAACATGTAATACAAATACCATAAAATAATATACTACAGTAGTCTCTCTCCCAACCTCAATTTGTTTTTGGGTTCTGAGAGGGTACATTGAGAACAAATCAAGTCATATTGTAAGATCAAACACCAGCCAAAATTTATCAACCAAACAGGCTTACAGATAAAACCAATTTCATTAAAGACACTAACCCAAATTTACAGAAGCACAATAGATAAATCGTATGGATTAGTAAAGATTGTCAATTAGAGTTAAGAATTTGGAACTGGTGGGACTTCAGCATGAGACCTGCGGGACCTTGATGGTGGTGGAAGAAGTGTTAGAACTAGAGTCTTTGAACTAGTCATGGAATACTTATTTAGTAGATGTTAGATCTATGTGAATTCCAAGCAAAGCTAATAGAAGTTTATGTTTAATTTTTTTTCTAGTATGACCTTCCAATTCAAGCTCAAGATTCTAAAACAGCATTTGAGGAAGAACTATCTCAAGAGAGGAAAAGTGGTCGAACTTAAGGACACAATCTGGAGTAAGATCTTAGTAAAAATATTATCATGTTTCTCGTTTGCTATCTTAGCTAAAGGGGAGAGAGGTGAGAAACCACTAAGCAAGACAGATAAAAGACAAAGTGATAGAGTGAGATTAGCAACAATTCACTTAATTCACAATGCAACTAGTATACGAGACATAAGTCTCCAACAACCACATCAAGATAACAATAATAGACATAAACGGAGACAGCGACACTTGCATGTATCTGATTGACCTGAATCTCGCCAGGTTGAAAATATGCATCAAATCAAAGTCAGTATATCAATACATCAACACCCAAGTCTTGACGTAAATGAATATTATATTAAAATCCAGAATTTTTATTTTTGGCATTAGTTTAGATGTTAGAACTCTAGAATCTAGATTGAATTGTTCTCTGAGTGACCTTTGAATTGATGCCCCAGACTCTCTTTTTCTCTTAAGCGTCACTTCAGAAGAATATTTTCGGCATATCATCTAGTTTATGTATTAAGTTCAATCTCACCTGGATGCCCATTTGTGACATGAACCATCTCCAGATAGTCCGATTATTCTCATTCTCAGGTGTGGCTCAGCCGACCTCCAAGAAATTGGCAGACCTAAAATGTAACAGACCACATCTCCTAACAACTTCTAACCCAGGAAAAGGATATCCCCATGTTCAAACCCGTGTACATAAGTCACAGCTATTTCTTGGAATGTCATCTTCTAAGAAAAGGTATCAAGATATAAAGATTAAGTTTTCCTTACATATCTAAATATAGATCTAGATATCTTGCTCACTAACAAAATGTGATCTTTTAAAGCACAACTTCATCAGCAGTTGAGTATAACAATTGGAAAAGAGAAGAATAGTAATTACTAATAGTTTCGGGATCAGAACGACATCAGTCGATCAATGAATGGACGAACGAATGAGAGGAAGAAGGCGGAGGACGCGAGACAAGAGACATGGGGAGGGAACAGGAAGAGAATACCGACCTCGAGCTCCGCGGACTTCATGGCGATGGGGATGCAGACGAGGAAGGCGCCGAACATGGCGATGGCGGTGTTGCGCTTCCAGTGCTTGGGCCGGCAGTAGGGCCCCCCCGTCATGCTCCACACCTTGTTCCTAAAATCCTCCACCCCGCCATGGTGCACCCCGTGCCCTCCGCCGCCGTTTCCTCCCATGGTGATGAGTCGCTGATGAGACAGCCTTTCCTCTCCTTTCTCCGCCCTAATCTTTTCCGCTCTATTATAGTTTGGCCCATTGGGCTAGGGGGCAGTGGGTTTAGTTACGGCACGTGATGATCACGTGATGTAGTAAGTAGTATTTCTATTTGGGGTATATATATATATATAT